TTTCTTCCCTCCCTTTGCTCTCCACCTCAAGTTCTTTTCTCCCCTCAGCCTGACATCATGAGCTTCAAGCATACACCCCCATACACACTCAAATTGCACAGAAAATTATCAATGAGACTGATGCACATGAGATGTGACACAGGCCCCACAGGATTCTCAGAAGTATAAGGAATCAATATTAGATTATAAATCTTGGGCTTGGCGTAGAATGAGAACCAAGGAACCTGAAAACTCCGACAGACACTCAGAGAGCCTCTCCCTGTACTTCAGTGATTTTTCATCTGCAAAATGATGATCCTGAGAAATCCATGCCAAGGATGGGTGCCTGGACATCCCATGTGACCTTCAAATTGTTGGAATATTGTACCTACGTGGAGGTATCTGAGGCAGTGTCCACTTCCTTTTGACATATCCATAAGTTAGGAGACATGAGCTTAGAAGTACCCAGGGAAGGCCCTAAACTGGTTCTTCTCCTGGAACAGGTTCTGTAATACAGATTTTTTCAAAACAGCCTGCTGCCTTCTCCACAATGCTCTCCATTCCTAGGACTATAGACTTGGATGCTCTTTGATATCTTCTTGGTTCTTACACTCCTTTGGCCAAGTTTATCTTTCTTTCTTCCCATAGTAGTCTGCCTTTGTCTTTGTATCTATCAGGCACTGTTTCTATGTCTTTTATTTTGCTCTTCTCTTTTCTTCTTTCTGTCCTCTTAACTCCTTGTTTCTATATGCATCTGATTCTCTCTCTCTCTCTCTCTCTCATGTGTATGTGTATCATTCTCATTTTTCACTATTGCTAATCTATATGTGCCTGTCCTTACTTCACTACTGCCCTCTCTAAATTGAAGCTAGAACTAATGAATATAGGAACTGAACCTCATCCTACCACCCACTGTTTCTAACTCTCACTGAAAACAAAGTGAGGGAAGAGGCTATTGCACTGCATCTCTGAAGCCATTGATTAAACTCTAGACCAATGACTTGTTACTGGGGAATTCCTTCCTGCCAAAAGATAAGAAAGCCCCATTGGGGTTTTCCCTGGGTGAAGCCTGTTAAACTTGATCTAAAGCTGCCTACCTATATAGCAAACTGAAACCTAACCCAATATATAAACAAACTGCAGTTGATGAGAATATACTCTTGTAACAGGTAACCAAATCTCAGCCAATCGTAGCAGTCAGGCTTCTAGCAATCACAGGCTGAAAACTGCTCAGACATGTTCAAATAAGGCAAAAGCAGAGCTTACCCCATAAGCTCTTTCTATATTTCCATTTCTTTTCCTGTGTATAAATACTGCCTGCCCATATCGCTGGGTAGAGCTCTCTCAGTCATTACTGGTTCAAGATATTATCCAATCACAAGTGATTTCTTTGCTAAAATGAACTCTACCAAATTTAATTTTTCTAAGGTTTCTTTTAACAAGGCAGAGTAGAGATTAGCAAGGAAAATTACTCAGACTGTCCTCTCTGCCCCCAACCCCTCTAAGTATCTTATTTCTACTTGGGTTCAGCTCGTTCAACCAGGCACAGAAGATTCGCACCATCCTAATAGAAGAGAAGAGAAGAGAAGAGAAGAGCAGCACAATGCCAAGCACATAAATATATGCTAAATGAACCAATGAATGAATGAAATAATATAAATGCTAACTGAATGAATTACATGAACAGAGGAGTACAAACATGCCCTGTTCTATGGAGATGGCCAGAGACAACAGGCTACTGTTAAGAACACAGAGGTAAAAGCAGTCAAATACACTGCCAACACCTCCATAGCTATTTCCTTTATCCCCACATCTCCCATCAAAAGCCAACAAAGGAAGAAAAGACTACGGAGAGGGAGGAGGTCATGTGTGCCAAGCCAACATCCTACCATTAAGGTACAGCAAAGGCTTCATCTCTGTCTAAAAAATCGACCTCATTTCTAGAAAGGGGGTAGAGATGGTTGGTCTCAGATTATTGAAGTTTCACCACCTTGAAACCACAGAGACTGGTTCAGGGCTGGGCAACTTCCATGATTTTGTTCAAAGAGACCATGATTTCCGAGGCTTATGAAGGAGGTGGCTACCCAGAATTACAGTGTAAAGATGGGCAGTCCCAGAGTGCTGCTGCCATTTTGCCTCCTGGAGTTGCTAAGGAGGTGTGGAGGGTGTTGAGATGCCCAGAAGAACCAGAAGATGATATCCTTTTGTGGTGAAATGGCTTGAATTGTGGGCTCAAATCTTGTCTGAAGACTGCTAATTTGGAGGTTCTATTTATGTGAGTCAATAAATCTCCCTCTTTCTCTAAAGTACAGTAGAGGTATTCTTCTGCAATTGGCAAAACATCCTTATTAATACAATGAATCTTCTTTTCTCCATGCTGAATGGAATGCTGCCAATTTTCTGACTGGGAAATAAAATCCAACTGATGTCAATATCTGAGACTCTTATAGATGTGGAATTATGATCTAGAAAATAAACTTCTAAAATATTTTGAAAGACCTTAACTCAAATACATATGAGTTACCAGTGGAACAGGTTCTGCTTAGAGAGATTTTCTGTAAAATCTTCCAGAATATTTTTTTAGTCTGACTGGTTCATTATTTTAAGCATGCTGCTTTTGGATGGTGCAACCACTGTGGAAATCAGTATGGAGGTACCTTAAAGAACTAGGGCTAGAGGTCCCCTTTGTACTCAGCTATTCCCCTGCTGCGTATCTTCCCAAAAGAATGAAGAGAATCATACTAGAGTGATATATGTGTACCCATGTTTATAGCGGCAGAGTTTGTAATAGCTAAAACTTGGAAACAGCCCAAGTGCCCATCAACTGGAAACTGGATAAAGATGTGGGGATTTTTTGTAAAATGGAGTACAACTCAGCCATAAAGAATGAGAAACTGAAGACATGTATAGCTAAATGGATGCATATTGAGGCCATACTTTTAAGTGAAATAAATAGGACACACGTGTAAATACTGAATAGTTTCTCTAGTGTGAGAAACTGAAAGTGTAAATAAGGATTAAAATGAATAATTCATGATTTGAAATAGGAAAATGTCCAAAGGTGTAGGGGTGGTAGGAGGGAAAGGGGAAAGGGAAGGGAAAGGAAAAATTATGAGAAAAGAAAAAAGAATGGAAATGAAATCTATGTAATTAGGGAAGTGTTGAGGGGGTGAAGGGTGCACAGGTAATGGGTAAAAAATAAGAACTAAGATAAATATAAATGTATTATATACCTAAAATGTACCAATAATAGAATTAAAAAATTAAAATTAAAATTAAAATGCTGTTTTAGCAAATTACCAGAAACATTATGTAAAGTATTAAGAGCTATTCATGTAGCATTTCTCAGGGTTTTATACCAAATCAAAAGCAAGAGATATTGGATTTGACTAAGAAATTTAAAACACACATTTCAAATAACACTATTAATTCTTGGAATCCAAAAGGCAACTCCATATGTGACCGGAAGCAGAAAGTTTTTGTTTCTATAAATAAGATTTTGCATTAAAAGGTAGAGAAGATAATGTCTAGTTCAGAAGATTCAAGAGTATAAGCATGAATATTAAGAGAAGAATAAAAACCAAGTAAGCTTTAAAAAATACATATAAAATCTTACCATGAAGATGTAGATCTAAAAAAGATTGTATTCCAAAGTTGGAGGAAACATAACTAAAGACATTCTCTGGTTTGTTAGATTTCATGTGATTCAGATAATAAGTCTACATCTGATCACAATCAAACTGCTACATTTGGCAAGCATGAGGGACATAATCAAATTGTAATTCACCTGCAGCAAAGTCATTATTTTTTACTATATTTAGCCAGATAACATATTTGATTCATAGTTTTCCTCTAAGAAGAGAACATTTGAAATTCAATAAATATTTTTAAATGTAGAGGAAGTTAAATTACAAAAACTGAAAAGAGCTATTTCTTGGCTGTATGTACCATGGAATATACATGTTTATAGCTGTATGCATACCTTTTCTTTATCAGTGTGCTATGATAAAATAAGTGTCTTCAGCCAGCAATATTTGATGACATAACTGGAAGAAAGTTAAGGTTAATGCAAGAAGAGATTGAGAAATAAACTGGTTTTCAGCTCTGTTGTGCTCTGGGTATTGTTTTACTGCCTAGTGTTGAATTTACATTTACCTGGAAACATTTCCATTTAAGTAATGTTGGACACATGGTGGCCCAGATGGCAGCCCAAATAAATATGAATTGTGTTTCCTGAGTTATAAAACAAAACAAAATAAACAAGAGTACAGAATGAGAACTAGGACACATGAATGTACCAAGATATTCTGCAGCTCCTCAGTGCTCCAGGGTAAGTTCAAACCCCTCCCCAAGCCTGCTAGGCCCTGCCCAACTGAGAGCTTCACCTTCTCTCCTTTCCTAAGTTTCACACCAGAGCTTTTTAGTTTCTGAAATGCACCAAGAACAGTGCATCTTCAGTCCCTGGGCCTTTGCAGTTACCTCTGCCTGGAATGCTCTTCCCAGTGCCTGATCAATACTCACACATGAGGTTTCAGCCTAGAAGCCAATTTCTTAGATAAATGTCTCTTCATCAACCCACCAAAATTAGTATTTCCTATTTTGTTGTTCCCAAAGCCACCTTTAGCGCATTTATTATGACAAAAAATACTACTTGCCCCTTTAAGAATTTACTTTGTTCCATGCAATCCTAAGTATAATGTGGGCATTAAGTCATTTAATTGCACCATCATGTGTGACTATTTGATGAATATCGATCTCTCCCATTGCACTTTACATGTCTTGGGTCAGACACTATGTCATTTCCTTAATGCATTCTCTGTAGCCTCCATTGGGGTACTGGCTTCAGAGTAGTGCTAATAGATGAGGTTTACTTGCTAGTATTCTTGTTTTGTTTTGTTTTCCTTTTTGAAATTAGTACATGTTTGCAGTACATGCAGTTTATTATCATCTTGAGGAGTGGGTTCCTGTACATAATACAGCTTGGTTCTTGTTTTTCATCCTCTTCCCCTTCTCACCCACCTCCATCCCTCCTCCTTCCCCATTTTCATTCTTGTTGATATTATTAACCACATCTCATTTTTATGACCATTATGTTTACATTCATTGATATTACTAGGATCCTGTACATGGCATATTTTTATTCTACTTATTTCCCCTTCCCCTCAACCTCTCCCTTTACCCTTGGACTCCTG